GGAGCTCAGGACTCCAGAGCGGTCCTGAGAGGAGCAGGAAAGCAGAGTGTTGCCTTGGGCCCAGCCAGCCACGTGCCCGAGCTACACTCTTTCCTTAGCACACTGCTACCAGGGCCTCAAATTCCAGGATGGAGTACTTTCACAGGTGGCTGGAGAGCACCTGGAAGGAAGGGGGTGGCCCTGAGTGCAGGCACAGAGAAGCAGGAGTGCTCAGCCTGTTGCTCTCCTCCAGGGCTCTTGTGTGGCAGAGCCTGGCAAGGCTGTGGGTCCTCCAAGTCTCTCAAATCCACCACCACATTGAATAAAGTATCCATCACTGTGTGAATCACATGGAACTATGTGGCCAGGTGCATTGAATGTGCAGGTAGGTGATGCATTGTGGTCAGCAGTCACAGTGCTCCGACCTTGTGCTGGTACCACTGCACATCTGTGGGTATGTTTATGCATGGTGTGTTCCACGGAGAAGCATTATTGATAGGCAGCCCATACCTGGCCTCAGCTGCACAGTGCTGCCTTCTCCAAGGCTGCGTCGGCTCCGGTCACCCTACTTCCAGACTTCCTCTGGGGCCAGCTCAGGCCATGGGTGGATGTGCATAAAGGTTCAGCTTCTCCCACTTCCCACTCTATCCTGCAGGGGTGAAGATCAAGGTCACATCTTCACAAGTGCCCTGCACACTACATTTTGAGCTGGAGTCAGGCTGCTCCATGGGAAACCAGTTGGCAAAATGAAGATCCTTATCCTTCATTCAGTTTCTAAAAAGCACAACCCCACCCAAGGACATTTGGTGTACTGGAAGGAAGGCTTGTCTTCCAACAACAAAACAGCCCACCTTGAAAAGTGGGGAATCTCCTAAGACAACAGAAGCACTGTTACTGCTGGAGAGGTATGTACCAACCCGATGGGGTGACTCTGCATTGAAATTTTTATCTGTTCCTTCAACTATTAGCTGACATGGAGTACAACAATACTGCCTCTTGAAAATCAGTAATTAGAAATTTTTAAAAGGGGACATCATGAATTCAGTTAGTTCAGGAAGTAATTTTGAAGACAAATGGGGGAAAAATCCCAATTCCTGATGAACTCCCCCAAATAAACTGAGTTTATCTAAAACAGACCAGAAACTACCAATGTCCTCTGACAACCACTTCCTTGTCATTCAGTTCTAGAATCTGAAATTTAGCTGGCAGAAGATGGCATTTCCCTGCATCCCTTGCAGCTACGCTGTCCATGTAACTGAAGTAAGGTCTGGGGATCTGAGTGGCAGGGGCATGCACACCTTCTCAGTGAGACTGTTAAGGGAAGCTATTAGCTTTTCATTGTCCCTTCCCTCTCTCTGAAGGCTTGCTGGTGGCAGGCAGCAGCACCCTCAGGAAACAGGAACATCATCAGAAGTTCCTGGATTTCTGAGCCATCCTTGGGTATCATCCTCTGGGTAGTCTCCCAACGCTGACTTTTATGTGGGAGAGAAACCAATCACATATTTTGTTTAAGCCATTATTGCTTTGGTTTCAGGTAAAGCAGATGAACCAATATGGTACCTCCTGGTGATCTCAAATCAGCAATTAAAACCTATGCGGTGTTCACTGTTCACCTGTGAGCATGGTGTCTTACTATGAGAGGCTGCAGCTGGATAAGAATACAAAGTAGCACCCTTCATCTGGAGCCAATGCCTACCTACATCCTTCTTTTTCAGTTGTTTGGTCTTGTTCTGCCCATGTTATGTTTTATTTTTATATAAAAACTGCTGACCAAAGAGAGGTCTGGATTGAAATTGTATTTATTTTTCTAACTATACACTAGAATGTTTGTTGGTAACGAAACCCCAATTTTCTATCGTGTTGAAGCATTTTCTTCGGGAGTAGTCATTTTCTCATAGGTTTATATTGTATATGTGCATAGATGCAAATGATTAGTTAATTAATCTTACTCATTTGGCAAGTAATTCAGTCATTTAGAGAGTACAGGGTAATTATCTAAATAAAAAACTGATTCAAGGTAAAATGGGTTACAGTTCATAGATATGTTTTTATAGATGAATAAAAAGAACAATTGAAACACAACTTTATCTTAAAGGTTTTCAAAAGAAATAGAAATTCAGCCTGAACCACTGCTACAAGTCATTTGGAATTTTCTGTTTCTCTGAATGTAATGATTGAGGTGGGGTTTTTGTGTGTGTGTGTGTGTGTGTGTGTGTGTGCTGGGGATTGAACTCACACCCGTGTACTTGCCAGGCAGGTGATTATGCCACTAAGCTAAATCCCTGGCCCTGATTGATGTTTCTGAATGACAGTCATGCCCTCCATGAAATATCTGGATATACTCTAAGCTTTCCGCAGTTTGAAGTGTAAGAGTCTGGCTGGAGAGAGCTAAAGTGGTATAAATCATTTGTCACCTCAGTCACGCTGCCAGTGGGATTTCAGGTTATTTCTACCTGCCTGGCTGTGGAGACACTGCATACTGATCATGGAAGATGTGAAGGACGGTGAACCATACAGCAAATGCCCCTCAGAATCCTTCCTCTTGCTTCAATATACTTATCCCACCACTCGCCACATTCTGAAGCAGTTCTAGAAGTTTTCTTTCCTGAGTGTCTTTATAAGGCGTGATCAAAAATGCAGTGACTGCTGCCGCCGAGTGCCGTCCAGCAGAGAGGCAGCTCATGAAGTCACGATGCTGGGTCCTCACCCACCTCAGTCACCGGGTCTGGCTCCTCCCCAAGGTCAGAATGATCAGGGAGGAAAACATTTTGAGTCGATTCAGGACATCAAGGCAGCTTGGTCAGCTCAACTAAAGACCCTCAGGAGAGAGCTCTCCAGAGTTATTACAGGAAGGGGCCAGAGTGATCAGATGAGTGCATTTGATGAGATGAGTGCTAGGGGGACCATGCTTAGGGGGTCAGTGGCAGTATGTCCTTAATGGTCATAAAAATTAAAGAAATTTAAATGCACTATATTTTGGATCACAGTCAGGACATGTGGGTCTCTAGAAGACAAGCATCCTGCAGCTAAGAATGTCTGTGTATTTATGTACATCTGGAAACACGCTCTCTCCTTATTAAAGCATGAGCAGCTCACTTTTCCATACTAAACACTACAAATGACACGAACTAGAGGATCCTCAGTAATAGGAGAAGCGAGTTCTCCCGTAGGAGGGGAAGTCGGAGGTGTGGTGTGAAGGAGGAAGAGTGGAGCCCGCTTGGGGAGTTGCCAATATCGGACTTCAGTAGGTGATGCTGAGCGAAGCTCAGAGGCTACAAGTATCCTTTTCCCTGCACCCTCAGCAACCCACAGGGTGGGGAGCCTCGCAGGTGGGCAGGCAGCATTGTCACCGATGCAGGACTTTTCCCCCCTGGATGCATTCAGCTTGCAGCACACGTGCACCGTGTTTCTGAGATGCTCCCAGCAAATCTGACTTCACATACACTTGCTCACTTAATCTCGAGAACGCACCTTCTTTCACATACCCGAGGCAGCTTCCAAGCGCCCCTAACGTTATTATTCCCTATGGAGAAGTATATGCGAAGTGCTTCCTGGAACTTAATACATTTTCACAATAAAAATTATAGTCAGTGCAAATTGATTTGAAAGGTGTCAGCTGAAAAGTGGAAGTGCATGAATTTATAACGCCCCCTTCCTAGAAATCACAGGCCAACATATGGATTTAAGGTCTATACCTTGTGCTAGAGAAGTGCAAGAAAACTAACCTACCCCATCCTTTTCAGCAGTCTGTGTTTGGGTGGCCGGTGAGTATATGACTGACAGTCATGTATATGACTTAGGCTGTCATTTGTTGTGGTCCGTTACAATTAGCAAACATTTTAATGGTCACAGCAGTAGTGGGCCTGGTCATTCTCAGCACCAGGGTCTAAGGAAGGCATCATTCCGACTTCCTCCCAGGCAGGTGAAAGTTTATTCTCAAAGGATGACGGAGTACGACTCCGTCAGAAAGGCTGGTGGAGATATTTCCAGAAGTACCTTGAAAATGGCCCTGGATTTATTAACCCGTCTGCTCAGGCAGAAGCTTCGGAGAGACCCCACCGCCCTCAGGAAGAGGCAGGGACAGGCGGGCTGCTCCCCGGAAAAGTCGAGCGCTTCATGGCGACTTTTGGAGAACAGTGGTGGCATTTACCAAACATCACGGAAAAACACTGCATGATTTGAGACTTAGAATTCAGAAACTAAAGAAATTCGGGAGATGGAATTGAGGAAGGGAAGCAAGATTGTAAGAAGAGAATATTGATTTGGTTAACATGAATTGGTCAATAACTGCACTTGAAGTGCCTTTCAAGATGCGTGTTTGAGCCACTTTGATAATAAAATATGAAGAACAGAGGTTTTACTACCAAGTTCAACTGATTTTTAGTATCTCCTTTTGGAGAAGAGCAAGGAGAAACCATTTTAAAAAAACTTTTCCTTTCATGTAATTTTATGGAGAAAAAGGAAACTAAGATGAGTCTTTAAAACTCACTGTTGGAGCCGGGCGTGGTATGCATTCCAGGCATCCCAGCACACCAGAGGCTGGGGCAGGAGGATCACTGCAAGTCTGAGACCAGCCTGGGCTACAAAGGGAGCCCAAGGCCAGCCTGAAAGGCATAGCACAACCCTCACTCAAAACGACAAAAACAAAACAGAAACCCCCAAACAAAAAAACTCACTGTTGTGAACTTCATGTTTTTTGTAATCATGAAGTCTGTTTCAGAAGTGGGTCTGGGTTATTTATCTTTTTTGTTATTTTTTTCTCTCTAGCGCTCTCTTTAAGTAGTGCCTGCAGGAATATAAAGGAGCAGTGATTCCGTGCATCCTTTCCAGCACTTTGGAAGGCACAGCACGTGCGGCATTGAGTGAGTTAACTCTCTGGAGTCTGACAGCAGCGCTCTGGGGACGGCCTGAGCTCCTGCGGCAGCCTGTGCTGCAGGCTCCTGACCAGCCCAGTCCCCGCACGCAGGAGGACACGGTCTCCATCCAGCATCACCCACGCTTAGCATGAGAACGCCACTCACCACGGGCGATGGGGACAGCGCGATGTTCCCTACGGATGCTTTCAGCTCGTCCACAGTGGCCGCGTTCTTAAGGATGTCTTTGGCTTGCAAAGGCTTGATCTTGATGTTGAACTTCCTGTGCGACTCCTCCTCCTCCTCCGACTCGCTGGAGGAGTAGAAGTGCTTTCCTTTGGTAGGTAGAGCACAGTTAAAGACTGTCTTCCGTGGGGAGGAGCTGAGCAGCCTGAGACAGGGACAGGACCAGAGGGGCTGTGGGGGTGGGGAGCCAGAGCCAAGCACAGGAAAGTAAGGAGGTAAAGGCGGGGTTTCTTCAGGGTCCTCAGGACAGGATCAGGACAGCCGCTCAGAAGGAAGGGTGGGTAACAGCTAGGTGTCTGCTGCTGTTGGGAGCCTCAACCCCACATCCTCAGAGGAGCACGGCTGCCTGCGGCCTGTGGCACTTCAGGGGCTCGAGGACAGACAGGCTTTGCATGGCAACTAGCTGGAGGGACAGCGGGGTGGCTACTTCCTAGTGACCATCAAAGATGCTGCCCCAAGGGTTCAGCAGATGGCCCAGCACCCACAATCCTCACTACTGGGCTTCAGCATAGTATTTTTCTGTCTGTCTGTCTCTCTTTCTCCTCTCTGAGTAGTCAGGGCAAAGCGCCCACCTTCTAGCACTTGGCCTTTTCCCTGCATTATCTATCTGTCTCTAATGTTGGGCAGAGAAGCTTAGGTGAGGCCATCACCTTCACCAACCTGAATCTCGCTGCTTACTGTTTTCTGGGAGAAAATAAATATCACGATGAAAACAGCCGGAGAAAGGATATAGCCGGGTTCCTCGGGCCTGATGCTGTAGCCTTCTTCGTCCAGCTCAGGCGAGTTCTAGGAAACACAAGCGCGCACACCGCGGGCGTTATCCCAAGGCCTGGAGGAATTTGTTTTCTTTCTAGTGTCATCTGAGGATGCAGGTAAGTCTCTCCTTTTAGTGGGCTAAGGTTTTAACTTTCGAGCAGTGTATCTTTAGATATTTACCCAAAGAATCGTGGGGAACCCTTCTGCTCTGAAAAGAAAGGAGGGATTGCCATTGAGAGTCTGCGCGTAAAGAGAGTTTATTTCACCATTTCCTGTGAGCCAGGAACTGTGCCTAGCAAGCAGGGATCGAAATGTAAATTACTTTTCTTGAGGAACCTGAAATGTATTTGAGCAGCCAAAAATCAAAACAAAAGTAACATAATGTAAATCATCAAGCCTTTCTTGGTGAGGCAAGCCTGAATCCCTAGCACTTAGGGAGGCTGAGGTAGGAGGATGGCAGGTTTGAGTCCCCCTTGAGTGAGACTCTAGGTGACCCCTTATCTCAAAAAATTTTTTTAAAAATAAGGGTTGAGATGTAGCTCAGTGCCAGAGCACTGCAGGGCTCACTCCCTAGTACAGCAAACAAAGCAAAACACCTGTAGACATAAAAACAGCCCACCAGCGTTGACAGGAAGAGGAAATTGCTGACATGTGTGGGACCCAGGGAGGTCTCTGCAGGATGCTTTCTGTGTGCCAGGAGGGGGCAGAGAAATGGTCTCTCCTCAGCAGGGCGGCAGGGCCTGCACCAGGGAAAGAACTGAGTGGGGGAGGCTGGGCAGTGGGCTGGGGCAGGCTCATGGCTGGTGGGGCTTCAGCCCCGTTAGGAGACCCATCCCCAGAGGGCAGGCGGAGGCCGAGAGGCACAGGGGGCGGGGAAGGGGAACTTCAGATAGAACCCCGTCTGTGCCCTGGGTACAAACTGCAGCTGATCAAGCCTGATAACACATGTCTTGTGCTTTTAAGGAAAAGGCAGGAAAGAGAAAAGGCCGCTCCTTGAGCTCACAGCTGAGCCCCACTTGTCCAGGGGACAGACTCAGGAACCAAGGACCCAGTCACTACAGAAGAACTGACATGGTGTCAGAGGGCATTTCCCAGGGACACGAGGCAGACCTGGCACCCTGAGAGTGGACCCTGTGGGGGGCGGGAGGGACATAGGAGCGGGACACTGGCCCTGCTGAGGCTCAGCCTGCAGGTCTGGCAGAGAGAGAGGCCGGGACCGAGGAGAGTATGAGTCACTGAAAGAAGGAGAATGGCTGGCCACCAGAGAAAGAATGGGCCCTGGACTCCATGGAAAAGGCCAGTGTTTTCTGTCTTTTTGAAACAGGGTCTCACCATGCCTTTCATGTTGATCTTGAACTTACTGAGCAGCCCAAGCTGGCCTTGAACTCTTGGCGAGCCTCCTGTCTCAGCCTCCTGAATGTTGGGATGAGAGGTGTGCACCAAGATGCTTGGCTCGGACCACCAGCTTTAAAATTTATTTCTTTATTGCATCCGTGTAAGGAATCCTTGATGTTTTGAGATACAGACCCAGTGACTGAATTACCACCATCCCATTCCACTCCACTATTATCGGGTGACCGCCTGAGTGTGTGTACACGCGTGACCTAAAATCCCTCCTTCAGCAGGTTCTGTGTGCAGCAAGTAGTGTTTATCACAGCCTGCGTGGCATCTGTGAGCCACCCGCTGTTTCTGTCCCACTTCCCTGCGAATGGGTACCTGTGACCCCCCTGCCGCCGCCGTGGAATGGCCCTGCTCTGTTCCTCCGAAACTGACCCTGGGTAACTGCTCTCAAGGGGACGACAGCCAACACATTACCGCTGCTCATCTTCTGCTATTTGGCTTTGAAGTTCAGCATCATCATTTTTATAGTTATTTTTTATTAAAAAAAAAAAAGGGAAAAGTGGTTCTGCATTTAAATGAGGTCGTGCTGCTTCCTGCGTTGGAAGCCACCAGGCCTTGAGCATTCACTGTGAACTCCCTGCTGTCTGGCCTTGGTAGGACTCAGAATCGCTTGGGATTTTTTTAAACACAGATGTTTGGGGGTCCTTTCCCTGCCGAAAACCTGCCACGGCTTCACACTGCATGGGGAGTGAAGCCCGGCACCTGGGCATCCCAGCCCGCTTCTCCTCCTCAACCTCACTCAAATGAACCTGTCTTGGTTTTCCTTCAGCTGTACCTTCTTCTCACTGTGCACTTTCTCTTTTTCTTTTCTTCCATCTCCTCTCTTTTCTCTCTCTCTCCCCTCTGTCTCTCTGTCTCTGTCTCTCTCTTATAGTACCAGGAATTTAGCAGCACTGAGCTACATCTCCAGTTTAAAAGAAAAATTCATATTTTGAGACAGTAGCTCTCTGAGTTGTTCAGGCTGGACCAGAACTTGAGATCCTCCTGCCTCAGACTCTGAGAATGCTGGCATCACAAGCCAGTGCCACCATGTTCCGGTCCCATTGTGAACTTCCCCGTTTGGCTAGTGCAGCATTGTCTTCTTTGGGGTCCTGGCCAGTGCCACTCCGCCTGCCCAGATATCCCTTCCCTCACCAGAATGAGGATGATGTTGAGAATAAAATCCTTCTTATTACATAGAGAAGTGGTTTTTACTGCATGCATACAACAATTCCTGCGTGACTTAGGTTTTTGTGGGTTTTTTTTTTTGTACTGGGGATCAAACTCATGACCTTGCACTTGCCAGGTGCTTATGCCACTGAGCTAAATTCCCAGTCCTGTGACCTGGTTTTTAAGGCCAAACTAATTTTCAGGAAGTGATGCTTTACTTAAACACATCATGACATGAGCACTAGACATCAGGGCTTTTGTGATGGATGGGAAGCTGCCTGCAGTATCTGATGAATAATTTGATAGTTTATTGGTCATTCTTCCTATTTACTTAGAGTTTACCATTCTTGTATATTGAATCCTACAGAGCACAACAAAATCTTTCTAGGTCAGAAAGAATTGATCTTGAGAAAAGAAATCCCTCTTCCTATCTAGTACCTTTCCTGATACATTCAGATTATGTGAATAATCTTAGTTTAATCAGGGGCTGTTAAACATTCGCAGGATTGAAGTGCTAAAGACACAGAAGGACTTCAGCTGGCGAACTGTGTGTGCAAGGAGACAGGCAGCGCGTTGCTGGCGGGACATATTCCAACCACAGAGGCAGCAAATACGAAGACTTTCACCTCCCAAAGCCTCTGTTTTCCCCACAGGATGCTTAAAGGAGGGTTTTTCTTTTCAGGAGGAAAGAATTTAATAGCACTCACTATTATAACTGACAAAAGTGAATACACAGTAAGTGATCACGCTTATTACAAAAAACAAATATGCAAAAGGTTTAATTTTTGTGAAAGAGAATGTTCACAGTTCTCTAAAGGCCCAGAGTGAAAGTGTCTTGTGGGTTCCTGAGCTTGGGTATTTAATGTGACCTTCAAGGCAGAAACGGGTTGTCCTCTGACCTAGAAAAAGTCGCTACCAAGAGTCTGTCATGATTGGTACAGAACCAGGACTCAGTGGTTAATGGGCTTACCTCGACCCTTCCAGCTGCTTAGAAATAGAGTCTGGGCAGGAACACCCAGAGTTACTATTAGACAAAGCAAGTCGGGCTAGGTATATCCCAAAATGTTCTGCGAACAGTCAGCTCACTGGGTCCTTGCCGCAGTAATACAAACTACCATACTGACTTCAATTTGCTGGGAAAATAACTGCTCTACTAGCCTCAGCCAATAACTATTCTAAGGCTGCACAGAGCTAAGACATGGGCAGGGAGGTCTCCAGCCCAGGTCTGAACTCTAGTGTTCCCAGCAAGCGTGACACTTCCTCAAAGATACAGACTCTCTCACCTTTCTCTATGTCTTAGAAATCTGAGCTCGATTCATTTCTAAGTTACCCAGAACTTGATAAAAGAGACAATATTTTGATACTCACATATCTCTCCCAATCAATTTCTGCATAAAATCCATTAGGTGCTCCGTTGCTTCTCTTCTGTAATAAATTTCAAAATAAATTCAGGAGGGGAGCATTTCAATGAAAACCAAACAAATAACAGAACAGAAACCACTGAAGTCTCATCTGTATGTACCAAAAAAATCCAGCACTGGAAAGACAAATGGAACAGCCTCGTATGAAACGATGCTGGGCAATAAGTGGAAAATTCTGCACACTCACTTCCCAAGCCTGTAGATACCCAGGCAGAGAGCTATTAAGAAGCAGAGGCTCAACTGTGTTTAGTTATGCAAGAATTAGCAACATCTGCATTTTAATTTAATCCTCTGTACCTTCAGGAGACACAACCAGGCATCATATAACAATAATAATAATAATAATAATAATAATAATAATAATATATAGGAAACGTCTTGACTTCTTTGTTGCTCTCATATATAATTAATCCCAACATATCTAAAGACTGTTCATCCAACTATTAATTGATCTGTTAGCCTTTCAAACTTTGACTCAGTTATTTTGCTAAGTGCTAGATAAAATATCAAGAAGTCAGCTCTAGATTAGTTTATTCAGTATCTTATTATACAAGTACTACTGATATTCCTTCCAAATGGCAGTTACTAAAATAGAGGGATTTGTTACTAAATTTGCGGGATTAAGGGTGAATTTCCCTGGCCCATGGCTTCCCTCCCCCTGTGAGCCCGTATCTTTTTGAGTAGATTGGAAATTGACATTATTCTGCTTTTGATTGTCTTAATGTTTTACTTTGGCTCTTGATTATCTTAAAGTTTTATTTAAAGATTTTCCAGAGAAGAACTTTATCTCAAAGTATAATCATGACATACGACCACAACAGTGAACAAAGAACACCCAAATGAAATTTGCTGATTTTCTACTTTCTGTGAACAAATGACAGAAACATAAATTGAGTTGTTCATGGACAGTCTGTCCTGCAGCACCTTTACACTGACCACACAGAGTGATGTCTGCACCACACAGTGAAACTCAAGACAACACGCACTGGACGCTGGCGCAGGAGGCTGCAGACAGCACTTGTGATTTTTGCGATCACAAACAGTGGCCCCTGGAACTCCAGTGTAAGTGGCTGACACTCAGTTCGACACATAGGTGCGGGGAGGAAGCTTCTGTTTGCAAGAGGATCTTTAGCTAAGCCTTCCTGAATGTTCACCGGGCACCCTAAGAGCTGGCAGTGGGTTAGCAAGGTCCAGGGCACAAGGGGCAGCAATGTGACGTCACTGTACAGAGTCCCAAAGGCAGGAAACCCTTCGTATGCCCCAGACGCCTGCACACCAAACACAGGCCTGCGCACCTCTCTGGGCTCACTTTGACCTCCATGGAATTAGTTCTTTAAACAAAGTTTCAGTGACGTCCTCCGTCACTCACAGATCTTTTAAAAACGTGCCACATCAATGTTGTGCGTATTCATTGCAGGAAGCTGCTGCTGAGAACATAACCTATCGTGAAATAATAAAAATTATTCTCTTCCTTGGAAGTAGGCATGCTTCCTACTTTCGTCATATTTGTTTTCTTTCTAAATTTCTGTCTTTTTGCACTTTTCGTAGATGATTTCACTGCAGAATGCATGGACTCCTTCTTAGAAAGCATGTGTAATAAAGCTTTATATGAAATTTAATTTATAATAATCAGGAATCAACTAAATTAAGTTGATTCCAGAGGAGTAAATTCAGAAATTTTGTGATTAGTACACTACTGCTATCAATACGCTTTTCACTTCTGAATAATTCCAGAATGTGAAGCACTGCCATCTGAAAGCTAAATCGCTGAGTTCAACAATTTCAAAGTTTGACAGCTTGTTTCCATGACAATACCATCTCTACAACTACAGCCCTTTAAAAACAAGGCAGTCTGGGTGTCCAGCTGAGCAAACCGTGTATGTGCCCGTCCATGTGTGTGGAAGTGAACACACACACAACTTTTAACATATATCTAACACTGCATATAAAGAAATGCCTGAATTTTTATATTTGGGCTGAGTGGAAATTTCCATTTCTATGGAAACCAATAGAAGGTTTAGAGAAAGGAAAGGCAAACCCTATGAAAATTTTCCTGTTAAGAGAGAAACATTTTAAAAACAAATACTAAACACAAAACAGCAAGTCATAACAATACATTGTTTTTAGCAGAGACTCAACACACACACACACAAACCCGTGGTTTTATCAGAGAAATTGGCAGCTTGGCCTCTTTCACGTGAGTTGTGTTCTTACAAACATTCTGGTTTCACAAAGGGAAACTGCTATAGTGAGGCCGAACCTGTGGAATCGTTCTTGTTAAACCCCAAGGAAAAAGCAAGGCCCGTGTTCCAGCTGCAACTGCTGAGGGTAAAAGTTTTGCAGAGGGGCAGAGCTCTGGGGGTGGGATGGACGCCTCATTGACCGGGAAAGCTGCGTGAGCCAGCTATTCACTAAAGTGTGAAGCCTGGATTTTTCTCTTCGAAATGGAGTAGTGTATCCTTTTACCTCTAAAATTTTTCTAAAATTCTACACCTAGTAGAGGGAGCCGTTACCACTTACACAGGTGACTACTATTAAAGACAGTTGAGGCTCATGGGGAATGTTATTTTTTTATGGGTATTTTTATTTAGTCTTGTTTTCTAGCCTCAGATAATATGATGAACTAAGCCGACAAATACAGTAGCGACTGTACCCAGTCCCACGTTCATCCATGTTCTCAGTTTCCCCTGGGGAGGGCCACTCTTTTCTGAGGTCAGTTCACAGCTTCGTAGTGGCCCTAGGCTGGGCAGTGGTACAGAGACCGATGCATTGCCCACCCGGTATCTTGATCAAAGTAGACTGGAATCATTCTGTTAGCGGTGCTGCAGGGCAGCACAGTGCAGGGAACTGAGAAGATAGAGGTGGCCCGGTGATGTGCTCGCCAATATGGTAGCCATGGGGAAGTGGGGGGTAGGAGTATTTAGAAGCTGGTGTAAGTGTGGCCAGGGCTGCATTTTAACTAAATAGTCACGTTGGCACCCATCCTGGGTAACACAGCGGTGGTCACAGCACAGCCAGGCCCAGGTGTAGCATCCCTGGGTCTCTCTCCTTTGGTCAAGAACACAGTTTCCATGGAACAGGGTCCTGGCCAGTCCTCGAGATGACTGATAGAGAGCTGATCCTGGCAAAGAATGCTACTCTATTTTCATGGCAATGTTTGCATGATAGCCAAAGGCTTCTTTAGATAGCAGATTCTCTTTAGAATCTGAATCTTTTTTTTTATCCAGGACATATGAAACAAAAATTCTTCTTCGTTTTTTTTAAGTGCCTGATCATTCTTAAAAAGACTATTTGGATGTCAGTACCGAGACCTTAATGACTGATTAAAATGTCAGCCCCAGGTATTGAAGTTGTACTTTGAAAATCCCTACGAAAGTCTCCTCTCAGAAGGAGGGGTAGAAGAAGGGGCAGCGTCTTCCAAATCTCAAATTGGGATTCTACTCACTGTCTCTACAACCCCTTGGAAATTTTAAACTAAAATCTGTTTCCTTACCGAAGCTTTTTTTGCTCCTTCCCGCACGCACTCTGCTTTGTAACTGTACGGAGGCTCATGTGGGCTGGGCTGCTGGAATTGATTGTTTTCATGTAGAAAAAAGTTGTTAAAGGATCTGTTTGTTCTTCAAGACACATATAAAGAATCACATGGAGTCAGCAAACATACCATAGGAGAAAACATTTCTAGGCCAAATTACACGGCCTACCGATCTTTGGCAGGATTCCTCCTGCAAGGAGGGTTTTGGGGGCCCATAACGAGGCTCTATTCAGCAGGCCAGGGAGCAAGGTGGAGGAGGGAGAGGAGTCCAGGCACGGGACTGTGTGGATCTAGTTCTCATTGACAAGTAGAGAACAGACACCAAGACAACAAGCAGAGACCGGATGGAAACAGCTGTCTCCCTGATCTAAGTGTGAGTGGATTAGCTCCACCTTGGCCTTGCTTTCTCCTGATCCAACCCCTTCTGGGGGGTCACTAATCCCTAGAATCTGAATCTTTTCTGCCAACGGTCCTGAATCTGTGCCTTCCCTGCAATCAAGAGCCCCTCACAGGGAGAGCCGTGACACCCAGGCTTCTGTTCATTTGCAGAAGGAAATCGGAGGGCTCAGAGGAAAGTTCAAGTGGACGCTGGGCAAATCAGAGTTCACCACCAGGTTAAAATGTGAGTCACACCCAGCAGCCTGGAGTCCTGACACCGTGGTGGACAGCTCTGCCCGCTGTGGGTACAGTGAGCAGTAGCCAGCAAGAGCAGCACCCCTGCACCCCCGCGGCCCTGCCAGGAAGCCCCTGGCAATTGAAAGCAAAACCCCAGCAATGGGCTGCACAGATGATGAGAGAGTGAGAAGTGAGCCGCACTGCCCGAGAGCTTTCGGGCCCACTGTGTGGTCACCCAGATCGTGGGCACCAGCCAGGTCCACACGGTCTGCACTTTACAGAAACACACAAGTTGCAAGTACAGCTTCAGACACCCCACCTGCCATCCTTCAGATGCCAGGTCGGCCGTACCAAAGCGGACCAAGCCAGCAGACAACAGGTCTCCAAGGCATTAGCGTGAGTCCCAGAGACTGTCACGCTGGGATTCCTCAGGGCCAAACGCAACCAGATACTTGGATCTAGCCAAGTTTGTGCGGGGTTTCGAGCGGTGCTGACCGAGTTGGGGGGATAAAGCAGAACTTTCAAGCTGAGGCAGCATTTCTAGCTACCCACGAAGCCATCTAATCTCTTCTGGAGAAAATGCACCTCTTTGAAATGTAGCCCTCAGGACCGTCCTGCTGTCTTTCCCAAGAAACCGAAATCCAAGTGTTCTTCTCACTGACCATGCCCAGCGGCACTGATGGCATTTCTAATGCAGGTGCAAAGACATGTAAAACGACCAACAAAAAACTCTGGAAGCTTGCGATGCTGTCAGGAAGGTCACCTAGGAGGACGAGTCCAGAATGCCCTATCCCCTGTCCCTGCCAGCTGTCAAAAAGCAGAAGACAGAGGTGGTGATGGGGCCTCAGAGACAACAAGCAGCGGTGGAGTGTGAGGGGTGGAGGAAGCAGAATGGGGCAGATGAAGAGGAGCAGAACGAGAGACGCCAGAGACAGCGATCTGGCCCCCGAGTGGCCAGGACCGAGCAATGCGCTCACGGGGCCTTGGGGAGCTGGAGCTGGGGACCAGGGGACAGGAGGATGGGCGCTGGCAGTGGAGAGCAGACATGGGGGCAGAGTGTACCTGAGACAGAGTTAAGGAGAGGGCTCTGAACCAGAAGCAAGAGCTGAGGAGGAGCTGGGTCTTCTGGGCCTGTTTTTTCCCCTGCTGAATAGAGCCTTGATTATAGCGGTACCCAACGGCCGGTCAATTTCAGTCTATCTTGTAACGTTTCCCGGGGAGAACCGCAGGGTCCCCAGGCACCCCGCCTAGGAACCTAGGAGTGTGATAGGGGAGAGCTCCTGCTATAGCTTCCACCAGCCCCCCAATTTACCAATAATATGATAAAAGGTGATTTTGGGGGAGTGTATTTTTTAATCACCAGGTTTTAGTTTCCATCTGGCCCAGAGGGCCTAATAGGACTCCATCTCTTTTCTTCCAGTAAAGCTGCTCTTTTAAACCCTGTGAAGGGGCATCTGACTTAGGAAAGGGAGTTGTTTTAGAAGTAGGGGCAGAGTCCCATCAGCCTGCTTTCGCCACAGCGTCATCAGACAGCAGGCGACCTGGCAGCCAGCGAGGAGTCTGCGCCTGCTACAGCTAAGCCCAGCGGACAGATTTCCCTCCTTTAGGCTGTAAATTCAGGCATAAATGGTTTTGAAGGCCATTCCTTAGTTTTGAATTTAATATAGAAAATGTATCTGAAGCCCAGCTGACTCAAGGGGAAATGCACTTCTAATTTTACTGGCTCCTGGCTCCTTATGGCTCTGAGGCCTCGGCTGCAGAAAAACATTCTCACATAATGAGCTTTTTACGTCCTCAGAGAGGAGGCGGAGCAGCAGGATGGCAGCAAGCCCTGCGTGCGGCACTGCCCGTCCTCCCCAGGCTCAGTTTACCTCCCACTACCAGGCAGGGCGCAGGAGAACGCAATAAATAAGTCCTGCTTCACCAGTTCTATATTCTGCCCCATGCAATTATGGTCTGAAAAGCTAGCCAAGCTACTGGATTTTTTTCCCCCTAAAGGAAGAAAAGAAAAAAAAGAAAAAGTCGTGGGGCTTTCAGCAATGGAAACAGCACAGGTTAAATGCAAACCCGCTAAAACGGTCGTTTAGATACTTACAGTGCCGTCTCGGTCGGGGGAACCTCTGCAACAGAAAGAAATGGGTGGCATTTATGAAGATCAGTCACAGTAGGAGGCATCAACCACCACCTTCCAGTCCCCCCCACGTCCCCACCCCATAAATCTGGCCGAGGAAAACTGAGTTAAAACTGCTGTAAGACATTTCATAGTCTGGCCCGTCTAGCAGGCTCCATTCTCTACTACCACAAGGCAGGATAAACGGATTTCTTCTCTCTTACTCCCCCACTCCATGAGTGGCCCTGAATTTTCTCTTACAATAACACACTTTCCTGGTGTTTTTTTTTTTTTTCAGCTTATTTTGAAATGCTGGACCTTCTTCTGTATTTTTATATTTATGTCTCCTTCAATTGTGCAAGAACAGAAAACAGGGTGATATTTGCTAAGTGATGCCCTCAGATGATGTGGCAGTGGGAACGGGGGAGTCCAAGGTCACTAGGCTATGATGACACTAAGGGTAGCAGCTGGGGTCAGCATCTCCTGAGGAAGGTGAGTCTGGAGGTCCAGACGTCAGTGCTGCATGGCTCTGAGACACAGGACATGTTCCCCAGCACCTGATTAAGTAGGATAACCAGGCTTACAATGCTTTCCCACACATGCTTAGTGATCAAAAGTGGAGTCACCTATAATTTCTTTTCCCTTTTGTAACCCCTTCACACTTGGTGGAGATTTTTAGTGTTACTTTGGGGAGGTAGACAGGTCGCTATGGTCAGTGGGAAACTCCAGATTGTAATTCACTCTGTAAGGACCTTAGAAATATGAAGCTATAACCAAGAGCCAGACTTATGCTTGGAGAGAGAGCTGTACTGCTGGGACAACAACGTCTGTCAGTCAGTGCTTGGAGTGGCCTGGGACACCTCTAGGGTTTGGTAGGGTTGGAGGTGGACCAGGTAAGGTAATTCCTTACTGCTTCCTCTAGGGGAAGGGGGGAGAGGCCACAGCAGGAGACAGAGAGGCTGGTGGGGAGGGAGAGAGAAACGCAGAGCCTGTGGGGACCTGGGTGTGTGGGTGATAAAGGCAGAGACACTCATTTGCGAACAAGAATGCTGGCTCCAAATCCTATTTTCTGCACGGGCTTCAGCAAGTATTGAACTTCTCCAGCCCTGATTCCTCATCTCTGCAGCCCAGATATTACTACGGGGCTTATCGAATGACTTCGAGGATTAGGAAGTATATCAGTGAGACAAACTGTATTGCCAGGCACTGCCTCCCAACCCCTTTCCCTCGCCATCAGCTGTGGTGATGCTGGTCAAATCAGGAAGCTGTGGTCCTTCCCTGCTCTATCTGGGGAGGCTCAATCAGCAGAAGGGCGCTGCTGCCCCAGCAGGTTGCTTAGCAACCTCCAGCCATGGGCGACAGCCCTTGAAAACAGTTTCCATCAACCAGGTCTCAAGACTCCCATGGGCGTTAATGGAAGGTGAAGGCCAGCAAGTGGCCAGAGCAGCTCACTGACCCCTTTGTGATTGTAAATCCTTTTCCAAAAATGCTGTGTGACCCAGTTAGAGAACAGGGGTTTATGAAAAACAGAGGCTCCTGCAGGGCAGTTTGCCCTTTGACCCTTGCTGCTGGGGGAACCAGTGCACAGCTAATTTGCTGTCCAGTAAGTGATCTGGGCACTGCGAGGTAAGAGGCTGAGAAGAGGAACTCAGGATTCTGCAAGCCTATGTTTCCTGAGACGGCCGGACAGCGACACTGGGCGTCTAATCAAAACCATGCAGAAAAACTTTTATTTTCATTGCTTTAGAAATGGTGACACAAAACCAGGGCTTTGCCCGCTGGTAAATTAGCTCAGCCTGTCTCAGGGAGGTTCACCTCTTTTTTTTCTATTATTTATTTATTTATTTTTATTTTGAGGTGAGATCTTGCTATGTAATCCAGGCTGCTTTCGAACTTATGGCAGTCCTCCTGTCTCAGCCTCCAAGGGTTGGAATTCCAGGTGAGGGTCACCATACCACGTCTTTTTTTTCTTTAGAGAGGGGTTGTTTGACTTTTTAACACCCTAGAAACCTCCAGTACAATTACCAACACTGTCTCCCAGCATGATGGGTTGGCTTCTGCTGGGATGTGCTGAGGGGCAAGGGACAGAGTCCCAGGCCACATGTGGTTTGCTGCTGGTGTTGACAAACGTTGCTGGCTGACTGACTTACATAGTGCCTGCCCCTTTCGGGCAAGGAGATTCCAGCGAATGGATGAGGAAACTGAGGCCCAGCAAAGCAAAATATAGTTTCTAAGACCATGCTGCTCTGGTCAGAGGCGAGACAGGAGCCCAGGTGCTCCAACACCAGCCGGAACATCAGCTATTCTGGGTTAATGCGTAGAAAATGTCATATTTACTAAGAAATGGCATAGATTGTAGAAAATTGCTTCTAACTCATTTAGGAAAAACAAGCACAAACATAACAAAAAGAGACTTCCAGCACTCCGTATCTAGATGACACAAAAATCTCCCATCTCCCCAGCTCATTGCATTCCGTGGCTGAAAAACTTCCAAGGTGTCAAGGTGACCACTGCCGAAGGAAAAAAACCCAGACTGGTCATCCTAGCACTAAGGTTCTCCTGCCTGGCCCCCATGTCACCTCCTTTCCACCTCGGCCCTGTGTCCCCTGGGGGGGGGGTCACCCTGCACCCCATGGCTCCTCCTAGCTCCTCCTCCACTTTCCCACCTCCCCCTGTGCTATTGTTGGCCTCTGTGCATGAAATCGATGTCTTTGAGTTCTTGAAAACCAGGATTGAGGCTCCCCCTGCCCCAAAGCCATAGGCCGCCCTCCCAACTGGAGCCTCCTCGCCTTCTAATTCCCATGAAATTCCACCTCCTTTGCTCACAGGGAACATGTGACTATCAACTTGGATCAGTGATAATAGATAATAGCAGCAGGGGCCGTGGACTGAGCATTAACTAAATACGGAGGGCCACAGGGGACATTTCAAATGTGTGCTCTCCTTCGCTTGTATGGAAGAGTTTAATGTGTACAGTGTTTTGTCCAGCGAGTTCACAGGGGACAGGCACCCAAGGGCATTAGATTTCTGCACCATAAAAATGCACAGAATGGAAAGCTAGAGTCCTGTGCCTCTACAGCTTTACGACTTCTAGGAATTCTATCAAATGAGGGGTTTAGCGTGCTCCATTCTGACCTGCAGTGGACCATCCCAGACCTGCATTTTCACGACCAGCTGTAGCCAGTCGGTGGTCACTTGCTTATACTGGTTTTGAACTGGAATCCTGAGTTTTCAGCTGGCTGACTTTGTGTGCTGAGATTACCTGTGTGGCTCAGAATTATCAGGCCAATTGGTTTTGAGACAAGGTCTCCCTATGCAGTTCAGGCTGGCCTTGAACTCACTATGTAACCCAAGCTAGCCTCAAACTTGCAATGATCCTCCTGCCTCAGCCTCCCAAGTGCTTGGGATTACAGGCATTGTGGCACCATGCCGGGCTCCAGCCCACATTTCTGAAGGAGAATTCAACATGATCAAATACATAGAATGGATTATAATGAGGCTGTCATGCTATTGACATTTTTGAGGGCCTATGGGTGTCCATGGGCAATTGCACGAGATCAGTTAAACCTACAAAAGCCCCCTTTAGGCACTGGTCTGCGGCCAGTGAGCCCCTTCTGGCTGCACACCCCACTAGATGGCTTACGATTCTGTTTGGACAAAATCTTGACATCTCCCCACCTCAAAAAAAAAATCTTGATGTCTGGAGAAAGAGCTCAGGGACTTTATCTAGCAGACCTCTGTGTTCCTAAACAGGTGTTCTGCTGTTTGCTCGGTTCAGAAGCCCCAGGAGCAGCTCTGAGAAGCGGAAATGAACATCTTTAGTTCTGTACCCTAAAGTAACGTCACACTTTCTGCCTCCTAAGACTGCTGGAAAGCATAGATACCAGGTAGTGAAAAAAACAGCACATCCTAAGAGCCTGACCATAAAGAAGACCTGCACCTGTCACTACAGACTGGAAGGCTTTGTGCAGAGCAACTGCAGCTCCCCAGCAGTGAGGGAACATGGGAAGTACTTGATAGCAACCTCTCTCAGGAAGGAGCTAGCTGGGGAGGCAAGGTACGTACGTAGAGTCAGTATCCTTCTCTTTCTTCCGTATTCCAAAGGCCTTCCTTGTACGTTTTTTCAGTCCTGCGGGAAAACAGCAAAGGGTCAAAGAAATCGCTCAGCAGCCTACATGGGCACAGTTAGAAACCTGCAGCACAGCTGTGAAACACACATGCTCAGGAGCAGTGGCAGGCCCTTCAGCTGTGCATCTGCAGATACGTACAGCTGTGTGCGTGGCTTATTGATAATTTTTCAGAAGATGTTTAGTCAGGACTTGGCGCTGGGAGCGCTCAGCACCGTAGGCACCATCAGGATGGATGGTAATGGAGAAGATTATGAGATTTTCTTAGACAACCGTTACTCAGCCCCCGAATTGAGGCTCTGCCCAGGGGGTGAATCACAGAGTTAGAACAGCCATTTCCAGGCTGGACATAGTTTGGAGGCTGGGTAATACCAAGACAGATCATGTGGGGCGTGCGTGCCAGGAGAGGTACCCCTACCTGACCCAGCTCTGCACCCTGGATTCCCACCTTGCCTCTTCGCGCCCCTTCAGCTCCATAGCTGGACTAGATCATCGACCATTCCTTGGCATCAGGCAGCATGGCCACTTTTTGTGTGGTCCTCGCCCCTGGCTGAAGTGCTTGTCTGTTTTATCAACACTTAGCATTTCCACGCATCCCTGAAGAGGTCACGTCCTCTGAGAGGGCCTCTGAACCCTAGGGCAAGATGCTGGCTCTTCTGGGTTTTCCGGAAATGTTGCTTCATCTATGTTCTAATATATCAAAATCTACCCCTTGTTATTTACTATGCCAGTTCCCTGACTCTCTCTAGGACAAATACTGATGCCTTCTTATCTGGACATCTCCGACTTCTTGTACAGGGATCAGAAAATGTTGAACCATTCGGGTAGCCCTGCGTTAAGAAGGGTCCTTTCTTCCATCCTCACAATCTGAGCTCAGCTGTGGGGCTCTTCTCCATTTCCTGTACCCCTGATTGGGATTCCCACCTCCTGCATGTTCCATGGGGCCACCTGGGGCTTGGGTTTCTCGATAGCAAGTGTTGTTTAAATTTACCCAGCACCCATCACCGTCCAAAGCCTGGGCTCAGTGTGGGGCGCTTTGGCACACTGTCCTGGCAAATGGAGCTAGAAAAAGGCACCGGTGTTTGAGCATTGTTTGGCACAGACCAAAATCAGTGATTTGATGACACCATCTTCCAAAGCGTGAGTCAGCGCCGACCGCTGGGCTGAGCTGAGTCACTCGGTATCTGCCTCTGAGGATCCGATCAAATCCACTCTCCCAGATGTCTCTGTGCACCTAATTTGTCATTTCAGCCATTGTTCCATTTAAGATGTTTAGTTCTTTAAAATGTCAATTTTTTAAAAAAATTCTCTTCCCACATAATTCTCTGTTACTCTTCCCATGATGAGTTTATAGGAAAATGTACTGGCATTTAAAACTATCTGCCCATAATATTTAAGAACATTTTCTCCTTATCATTTCTAATTTTGTTTGTTTTTCTTGGTTCTTTATCACCTCGAACTGTCTTGTTTCCTTATAGGAACAAGCATCATAGTTATGCAATCGACATTCTCCCTTGGGCTTCAAACTCTGTCTCAGCTTTCTGCGTTTGCCATTTAACTTTGGGTTCGGGATGTTATATTCATGAATGACCACTGGTGACTTCAGGACCATAAAGTGAATGCTATTATCGCATCTCAAGTCCTTCATTTCCTGTACCTCAGCCCATCAGAGACAGCACCCTCTACCAAACAGACCCAAAAAGACACACAAATTCCATTATTATATCAAATCAATAACAGATCAGGCACTGGTAGTTTTCCATAAGCCCTGTCCTGGTTTTGACCATGATATCTGGACAACAGCCAGTAGGAACTAGGTCACCAGTGTCAGGGTTGTCCATTTCCCAGCAGAAAGGGCTCTGGACCAGGAATTAAGGACATAGAGTCCATTCCTAGCGGCATTTCTAATTGCTTTTGCTTAACACAGTCACATGGTCTCTGTGCTTCTATCTTTTGGTCTGCAAATCAGCCAGCATAAGACACGGAAGAATCTGCACACCTTCACACGAGACAATGCTGGGCCACTCGGTACATTTGCTTTCACAGAAACTGATGCTCCCATTATGCAGAACACACTTCAACATGATAAGTAAGGATACAGCAAAATAAGATAAGGATACAGCAAAATATAAACCAGGAAAAAAACGAATCAAGTTGTTGAATAAGAGAAAGCACACAAAAAGTTCTCCACTGTGAAAAGTGGAAAGATTTGAGTTTATGAAAATCAGAAAAAAGCACTGAAAGATTACAGGAAACAAAGTTTTTAAAAAAAGTCTTTCACATCTCAAAACTTTTAGAAGCTCCATGGAGAAACAATCACATCAGCTATTCTAAAAATTAATGGAGAGGCAGGATCCTGGGTTTTGAGAGTTTATTTAAAATATTCAAACAACCTTTTCAAAAGGGAGAAATGACAGTCAAGGACGTGATAGGTATAACATGTTTTGAACACCACTTCCGATGACCTGTTTCACAAAGAAAGGACAAGTCATTCTGGCCAGTGATTGCTTCGCTTTTCACTCCAGAACTCTGCAAGGATTTTAAAGTCAGTTTCTACAGTAAAATTGTTTCTGGGGTGGAGCCTGAACCTTGGTCAACTGCTCTTTACCAAGAATGGGAGGGCAAAAACCAAGCGTTCTTTTTACTTTTTAAAAATTTTATGGAAAACAGGTAAAACACAATTTCATAACAAAATAATAAGGAGAATGACAGTACACTGCATAGTGTCGTCTTCAAAGATGCTACATGGGTGTAAGAATTCTCTAATCGCTATTGACACAAAGCTTCCCCTCCAGTGAACTGGGAATCACTAGTAGTGCAGCTCACTTACATTTCTGAGAAATGATGTGACTCTTCCCGGGCCAGCAGCAAGACAGAGGGACATTTGGGACGCGAAGTTTGTTGATCCAGGGCGAGAGTGGGTCCCGGGAGCAGATGAGGACCTGATGGGGTAGAACCACCCCATGGCCCACCTCCACCACCCTTAATTCCTTTCCAGTCCCCCATTAACTCAGACACCCCCAGCTTCCGTGTATTTAGGAAACAATTCATCGCTGTTAGTCTGGGACAGAACGATCACATTCCTAATGGCGAGTGGGTGCCAGGGTTCAATACATCAATGCCTTTCACTTCCTCTCTCTCCCTCCCTGTGGCTCTCAGTCCTCTTCCCATTCCTGAAAGATCTTCCTGTTTCCTGTGGTCCTAATGGTGAGACCAGGCAAGTTGACAGAGAGCGATAATGAGAAACATTTTAAATAGACTTATTTTTTAGGAGGTTAGAAAGCTTGTTTCCATTGAGGTAGTGTTGAGAACGATGCTATGGAACACACAGCAATACATTTAGAACTGGTGTCAGCGATGATGAAAGCACAGGACCAGAATAAGTTCCATCACTGCTGGCTCCTGACCCTGCTGTCCAACCAGTGGCCAGGTACTCGTTGCCTATGTTATCTTTCTTAAAATTTGTTGTCTAATTTGGGTCTCTTACATGCCCTTTGGAAAAGTAGGCAGTGTTTTTTCCTCAAGTAATAAGCTCAAGTTATGTCTTCTCATTTGCAGCATCTCCAGAGAGACTCTGGACGACCTGCTTTCTGCACTTTAGCCTCAGAAGCTGGGCTTGGTCAGGGCTCTGTCCTAGGATATCTACAGCTTCCTTTTCCATAGGTCCAGGAAAACCCTGAATCTATAGGTGAGGTCCAGCGCTATCTCATGTGCTGTCAGGCTTCTGCAGAGATGCCAAAGTTTTATAAAAGTCTTTATGTTACATGTACACTTTCATATGCAATCAAAGCTGTAAAGTATGCACGATCACCTATTATTCTTCTGTAAATAGAATTCCCCTTAAAATATGACTTTCCATCCATAGATAAACCTGTGCCACATCTATACTAATGCTATACAGCCATAGAAAGAAGCAAAGTACTGATGCACACTGCGTGATGACTGTGAACATTATGCTCAGTGAAAGCAGCCAATCAGAGACAGCTGCATACTGTGGATTTCATTGGTAGAGAGTACCGGAAGTGGTCCACTTACTGCTGCAGGAAGCAGGTTAGATGTTGACAGAGACTGGGTTGCGTGGGAATTGGGAAAGACCACATTGTCATACGGAACTTCATTGTTGGGTGACCAAAATTTCTGGACCTCGCTAAGGGATACTTTCTCAAGGGTTAAAAATATGCTGAGCGCCACTGAGTTTTATCCTCTAAAATGGCCAAAATGAAAAAGTTTATGGAATGTGTATTTTAACACAACGAGCAAACACATGAAACAGTTGGGGTTAGGTTATTCTGTGATCAGGGGAAGGAAATGGGAATAGGTGGGGAAGAAGTGAAAGAAAGGCAATGAGGTTTCTAGTTTGTGGCCGTGTGACTGTTTTATGGTTGTCAAAGTCCCCAAATTCTTAGTAAAGAAATCAGGATCTACCAGTCACAGATCTGTGCTCTTAGTGATCACCACCACAAGTAATTCCATGAGGACTCGCAAAAGAACATCAAACTTTTCTCTCAAGTACCAAATGTTGACAAAAAAAAAAAACCAAACATCTCATAAACACATTTTTGTTATCCTGCTTGTTCCTTTGATCATTTCTCACCAGATCGTACCACTGAATAATTATGGTTTAGATCAAAATGTGCCCCCAAAGTCTTCATGCATTTGGAAGATGACTAAGTCATGGGGTTTTAGTAGCTTAATGCACTGTTGGAGGCTGGTCCCTGGGAAGGGCATGGCTGGACAGGGCACTGTTGTCCTCAGTCCCCCCCCTCTGCCTCTGGACACCATGCAGTAGACAGCATTCCTCTGCCTGGCAGCCAGCTGATCATGCCCTAAACCCACTGAAACTGAGTCTCCTTTAGATTGCAGGTGTGGGTATTTTGTCCACAAGATGCAAAGTGGCTGACACATGCATCACCCCTGTTTGACGGCAGACCCCACGAAGCCAGCAGCTCCATCCCCAAGAGGTGCTGTCTATCCCCCTCCCCTCAGTGGAGCATGGGTGGAA